TTTTAGTAAATATGCATTGCATGTAGATGATTTAACACGTAAATATTATAATTTTTATATTATTTTTTATTTTTATAATTAAAAATATAATATCGTACTAAAATAAATTTTTAATTTTTTAGGCATATGAATTTATCGTATATAGTTTCTTTTAGGTTGAGTTTCTATAATATGTAACCAATAATAAGAACAAATATGAAAAAGATCTTTTTACCAAAACAAATTTATAATTGAACAAATAATTCAAATTAATTTGATTATTATGTTTAAATTAATAAGTAGCTTGATACGATCAAATTTGTGAATCATGATGGTCAACCCTTCTTCAAATCAGTATTTAATAATTATATTTTCATGCAAAATACCAAAATTTAATAAATTTACATCTAGAATATATTTTGATATAAAAATCAATGATTGTCCATTAAAATTTAATAAATAAATGATAAGATTCATAAATATTTTAAATAACAATTAAAACTAAATGTAAGTAAAACAGGATAACGAAAAAACATGACTTATTATATAGATCACTCTATCAACCAAGTTGCTCGATGAAGACGTTAAAAACTTTATCTAGTAAGTTAAAATCCCATTTTGTGTGGGTTTGGTTTAATTTAATAAAAAGTTTATCACTTAAGGAAAGTTTATCTTGATAAGAACTTCAATGTTAATATTTATTTTAATAAAAATTATCAATTAAAAAAAAGTTTTCTTTGATAAGGATTTTAGTTAATGTTAATAAAAAAATAAAAATTAGTCAATATTTTAATTTAATAAAAAAATACTAATGAATGCCAAAATAATTAAATATATGTTGTTCACTTTTGAAATTCGTATTTTTACTATTAATAAAGATAACATATGGAAGGAATAATTGCTAAGCAGTGTTTGATGATTATATTGTATGGCTTCTGCTTAGCCCACCGTTTGCTCTTTGGCATCATCAAAATGAAACGTTTTTCTTTTTATAAGGTAATTAACAATTAAGTAGGTTATCTTATGGAAAGTGAAAGTTAAGACAAGGCAATTAATAATTAAGTAGACTAGTTTCTTTTCACATGTTTTATTAATTAAAAATTCCCAAAATGATCTTTAAAGCTACATAAAGTTTTCAAAATATTTAAAATGTGCCAAAAAAAAAGATCAAAGGTAAAATTTTGACTTTAAAATTATGGGACAAAGGGAATATCAAATTTAAGATAAACAATGTGGAATTTGACTTTTTTGCTGTTTTTCTTCTCTCAACAATGGAAAAACATAAACATGTTTTGGGGCACTTTGTAATTTAATTAAACTTTAGCTTTTCACATGCAAAATGCAAAAAAGGAAAGGACCCTGCCGACCCAAATGTATAGGGTCAGTGACTAACAGCGACGTGTTCACACTGATTAATAATATAATGGGTTTTCTTAAATAAAAAACCCTACCTATATGTGGAATTTTTTACTTTTAAATATGAAATCTCTAAACCCAATCTAACCCTCACATTTCCAATCCCTTTGCAAGGGTAGCGTCTACCCCCAAACTCCCACATATAATTCTCACCATTAAGGCCACTGAAAATTTGACCTGTACATGGAAACTTTTTATATTATAATAAAGATTTTGTCAATGAATATTTTAAAGACAAAGTGTTGCTTACATAAATATACTAAGACTAAATATCGTAGTTTGATGATAATGTTCGATGTATTAAAGTTGTAATGTTGTTGTTATGAATTATAAATGCTGACGGAAGCTAGCCAATTAGGAACTAATCTAAGTAACAAATCATAAACTCCACATAAAATACTTAAAATAATGAAATAGTATTAATTACTTTAGCTTAGGAAGTAATGGCAGCCGTTGGGCAGTCCATAAATTATCCAGCTGTATCTCTGTCTAGAATGTTTTCCTTTCTCTTCAATATATATTTTTTTATATGGTGGAGCTTTCACCCCTACAAGTTTTGCATGTGCTGCTTCAAGTCAGCAGGTAGCTGGGGGGGATGGGGTGCCCTATATTTTGACTAACCTCATATGATTAGGGACTGAATTAGTTTAGACAAAAAGTCTATTAAATCGGAATCCTTCCCTTTATTTATAAAACAAACCTTTTCCTTCCTTAATTTTTCATTTATATTAGGTGAAAATCCAAGTTCATTTCCCCAACCAAGTCCATTAGGTGAGCGAGCTAGGTACACAAATTGTTAATTTAGTTCCCATGTCATATTCTAAATGCACCCAAAGTGTAAAATGAACCCCATCTTTCTGGCAATGTATGTCAATCTTAAAGTTTTTATATGCATTTTTTAAACAAGGACTGACATCTCACCCTCTCATAAATTTCGACTTTTGACTTGACCCAATTCGTTGTTTTCAGTTTATATATTTCATGTAAGTAGCAATATTACCTTTTTCTGGACCTAATTCATGAATTTGTATAAAGATACAAATCATAAATTGTCGACGGGCTAATATATAAGTTATAGAAAAATGTAGAAAACCCATGGTGAATGGTATGGTAACTGCTTATATAATTACTCACATTTTTTTCTTTAAACATTTAATATTATAAGTACTATCATAATATTATTCATATATATGATTTTAATTAAACTACTTTATATTATTTAGCAGTCTTTTCTAAGGTGTAATAGGAAATGATGAGGTTTTAAATAAAAAAAGAAAAGAAAACGAGTTAGGAGCTAAGTACTTTGATTACATCAATCCTTTGTTCCTATCTTTGCCTAATGTCCTCTAATTAATTTGGATTTTTTTAGGTGTACTGTTTGTAATCAACATCTTAATTAATTTGAATTAATTGTTTGGTTTGCAAACCATTACTTCAAACACAATCAGATTTATTTTCTTCATTAAATATCTAAAAAAATCAACTTTAAAAGCAATTAACTGGTCACAAAATCAAACAAACGAACAAAAAAAATTCATGACTATCTTGCCTCATGATAACAAGACTTGCTTGGAAAAAATCAGCATGTACATCATGCAGCTTAAAAGTGAGAGAATGGGTTTTCTTTTTTTTTTTTCCAAAACAAATATGATAGCTTGCTTTGAAAACAAGGATTCATCGGATGTATTTGGCTTTGGCAATTTTTATTGAAAACGACATGCAATTTGGATTTCATATGGTAGTTGTTTCTTATGTCAAACCCTTTTTAACAGTAGCAGAAAAAAGCATATTTTGACTGTTTTTTTGTAACCTAGCTTAGGTAATGAATCCGAGTTCTCTATAAAAGCATATTTTGACTCTTTTTTTCTACCTTATCTCTCTTTTTTTTTCCACTTGTAACTATGCAAGTGGTGTGATATATTGACTAATTAAAAAAGAAATTCAAAGCTTTCACCTTATTCATATCAATAACTTTTCTTGAGTCAGTTAAAATTTCTTCTATTGTGATTTTGATATAAAATTATATATTATCAATATATCAAATAATATCATGTTATTATAAAAATAAATTAAAAATTATAAAAAAAATCACACATGCATTATTTAGCCGCATATTATCTATTTATTTATTTATTTATTTATTTTAATATAGTCATTTTCAAATTTCAATTATTGTTCAACAAAGGATGTTTACCAAAACTCAAGCTAGTGACCTTCACGTTTTTTTTTTTTTTGCTTCCTTTTTGATGCATAAGTTGTGAGAGAGCTTTATTTGATTTAGAAGGCTTTTTGTCTCCCTTCTAAGGTTACTGTTACATCATTGTCTTAGACACACTTATTTTGTGATTGAATTCAATGTCGTTTTCTCACTAGTGTTCTAATTAACTCCCTAACTTGATGTTTCGTGACCACAAACTCACCCCTCTCGATGTTTTAGTTGAACAAATTTAGGTATCAATAATCATGCCCTCAAGCCCTTGATGAGATTATTAACAATAGATAACAAACAAATAAAGCAAATCAAGTTTCAAAAAGGGGTATTTCCACAAGGAGAGATTCCTAATTATGAGAAATTAAGCATAAGATTATAACAATTTAATCAAGAATATTACTATTGCTAATAATTACCATAAGTTTTCAAGAACTCCTTGTTACCTGCTAAATGGAGGTAAATGTCAGTGTAATCATTGTTCGTGATGCATAATGTAGCCAATGATGCTATCTGCAACCAAATGTCATTTTATTTCTTCTTGGAAATGGGAAAGGATATGGGTGAAAATAATTTTTGAATGAGAATTCAAAGGCAATTAGGAAACAAAAGAATATTGTTTTTTTATGTTTTTGACTGGAATTATACGCTTTAATTTCCTCTAATTGAAATTAAGTTATTCCCCAGGACTCAGGTTCCAGCAATTGTGTCTTCCGTGGTATACAGACCCCTTCGATATCTGTAAACAAATAGGGAGAAATTTGTAACTTAATATAAAGGCATTGCAAACGAGAAGCATCTGACCTGTCTGTCACATAGATTAAAACAACTAAAAGGTCATTCCCATATAAATTGCAAAGCTTGGGCCAAGGCCACTCAATCTCTTCTCTCTTTCTTTTTTTTTTTATGGAAAAGAAAAGATTTTTTAATATTTTCCCTCCACTCAAAATAAATAGGACATATAGTTTGTGATATATTTAGAACATAGATACATACCTATAAATCATAAAACAAATCTGATTGGGAAAAGAAAGAAAAACGGGAAAAATGTATTAATCATAGAGTTAAATCACCAACAAAAATGCATGGTTGAAAACTTGAAAGTAGATTAAGCTTTTGTCAAGCTTAATAATTACTATAAATTAGGTCGCCACAAACGGATAAAGATGCATAACACAAGCCGCCAGTAAATGACGTCATTCACCGGTGAATACAGTCGGAAGATTAAATGTAAATTCCACCATTTTTAACTTCTTTTATACCAGCCGCACATTTGTAGTTGGAAAGAAAACCATAGTAAATTAAAAGAAAAAGAAAAAAAAGGAGGGAGAGAGAACAAATGTTATTAAAATGGAAATAAGAGAGAGAAATAGAATTAAAAACACAACAACCAGAGGAGAGAGCTTATATAAGACATTGTTCTCTCTCTCATTTTCTATTGCTCTAATTTTTTCTTGTTTTTTCAAGTGCTCTGCTTCTGTTTTTCTTCAGAATAACAGAAGCCGAAAAAAAAAAAAAGTAGTTAAAAGCAGGATTTTCATTTTTCTTTGTTAGGGTAATGTACATTTCTGAGCTGTTTAGATTAAGGAAGTACAGGGAGTTTTAAGCTTGTGGGTTGCTGCAAAATAGTGGGGGGTGTTTGAGCCAGTGACTGGCATTTTTCCAGCTTGCTCTACCTCCATTGTTTTGCGTGAACCAGAAGCAAATTCACAAAGAAAGAAAAATAAAGAAAGAAACAAAAGAAGGGAAATATTCCATCTCCTTTGTTGAAGAATGTCCTTTATTATTTAAGCAGATCTACTGGGTTGTTTTCAAGACCTGTGTAAAATCATCTTTCACTCTTGTTCTTAGCTTCCCATTTGGTCCTCCCCTGTTTTTGCTCTGTTTATTGTTTTCTTCTTTTAACTTGAAAAAGCTAGGAAATGGATCGGCTTTCTTCGACAACCATTCTTCCTGACACATTCCAGGGAACGAGAGATGATTTCTCCATGCAAATGGCATTGATTTGGGGTCAGATCAAAGCGCCATTGATCGTACCATTATTGAGACTTGCGGTTATCGTTTGTTTGATCATGTCTTTGATGCTTTTCATTGAGAGGGTTTACATGGGCATAGTCATTATGTTGGTCAAGCTCTTCGGTAGAAAACCAGAGAGAAGATACAAATGGGAACCCATGAAAGATGATGTTGAGTTGGGAAACTCAGCTTATCCCATGGTTCTGGTTCAAATTCCAATGTACAATGAAAGAGAGGTTCTTTTCTGCTAAGACAACATTACAGCATTTTCCTTTTTTCTTTTTCTTTTTAAGTCCATTGTTTAATTGTATACTTTCTTTTTTTATTAATAATGCAGGTTTATCAACTTTCAATTGGGGCAGCATGTGGCCTCTCATGGCCTTCTGATCGGATCATTATTCAAGTCCTTGATGATTCAACTGACCCGACGATTAAGGTACCCAAAAAAAACCATATTTTAAAAGAGAAATTGAGTTTTACTAACAAGTTTAGTGAGAATTCTTATGATCTGGGTTGCCTTGTTTTCTTGCATGAAAAAATATATTAAAAAAAATGAAGGACTTGGTGGAGTTAGAGTGCCAAAGATGGGCAAGCAAAGGCATCAACATCAAATACGAGATAAGAGACAATAGAAATGGCTACAAAGCAGGCGCTCTGAAAGAAGGCATGAAACGCAGCTACGTGAAACATTGTGATTACGTAGTCATTTTCGACGCTGATTTCCAGCCAGAACCTGATTTCCTTTGGCGTACCATTCCTTTCCTTGTTCACAACCCGGAATTAGCTTTGGTTCAAGCCCGTTGGAAATTCGGTAATTCCGCTTAATCACCTGTTAAATACTACCACTGCTACTACTATTACTCGTCGTAATAGTATTAACAAAGCCATCCCTTAATTAGCTTTGACTAAATAAAAACTTGTTTCGTTTCTTACAACCTTATATTAGACTTTGGTGTGAATTGTGAAACGAGCACTGTTGAAACGATTATTTTTTGAAAACTGTCGGTGGGTCTATTAGGGGTATAGTTAGGTAGGCCCCCACCCTCGTGGATCTATGGACGGTCCAGTCTTTTCTGGCTGAACAGAGATTTGGACACGTGCGTGCTTTATATCGGTGCGAAAATGAGAAGTATAAAAATGCTGAAAAAGTAGAGAGAGCTATTTCCAGATGTTGTTTTTGGTATTTTGATCTATTTTCGTTTGTCTGATACTCTTTGGAAGCAAAGAAAATGCACCTGGAATTTGTCATTTTGGTGATTATTTTAACTTCCGGGACTTTATCCTGCTGTAGAATCCAAGCCATTACCACAACTGTGAGAAAGTTATGAACTGAACTATTCCCTGCGCCATGGCTTTCTTTCATTCATATTGATTTTCGGTGGTAGAAAAAGTGCTCGAATTGCTAGTACAGTCTGGATATTTGGAGCATGACATGCGAACATGTGGCAGCCTTGGTGGGTTAATTTGATGAGTTTTATCTCAGCAAAAGAGGCCCGAAATTGATTTTAAATGGACCCAAAAAAGGTTAGCTAATTGATCTGGTAGACACTTTTTAGCTAGGAAAAAGCTGCAAGACTACCTAGTATTTATTTGCTAGGGAGGCACCATGTCCTGGGCGGATCTACCCCAGTATCCTTTCCAATAAATGTTGAGAACTGCTCTGGAAAAGGGCATGTTTGGGCTTAAAAGAACATGTAGAGGGTGAGTTATCTTTGTCTTGTACAGAAAAACTGTCTACTCACATTCCCGGCAGCTTGCATGTGCAATAGTGGAAGTGGTGGACCTCATGCCTTGCTCACTATCCATGTGTACTAGCCGACGTTCGATTTTAATGGCCCTCTTGATATCATCATGATAATTTGTAGATAGGATATTTTCGCTAATGCCAGCTAAAGATGCTAAATGGTTTTCCTGCTGTTGTTTCTTTTTCTTTTTATTTCTTACAGTGAATGCTGATGAGTGCTTGATGACAAGAATGCAAGAAATGTCACTAGATTACCACTTCACTGTGGAACAAGAAGTGGGGTCTTCCACTTATGCCTTCTTCGGCTTCAACGGTAATAATAAAAAACAGAAAAACAAACCCGTTAAATGGAATTTATTTTAATTTTTTATTTATAAACGAAAAGTTAAACAAGCAAGAGATACGAATAAATTGTTGAATCAAACGTTGGTGTGTAACTGGGTAAATTTTAAATCTAATTTCATATTGGGTTAAACTTGTGTAGGAACTGCTGGAGTGTGGAGAATTGCTGCTTTGAATGAGGCAGGAGGATGGAAGGATAGAACCACAGTGGAGGATATGGACTTGGCAGTCCGAGCTAGTCTAAAAGGCTGGAAATTCCTTTACCTGGGAAGCCTAAAGGTACTGTCCTGAGTTCTATCTATCCAGTGATTTGGATGCATATTCAGAACTCAACTGGAGTCAGACCGACATCAGCTTCGATTCACAGCTCGAGATATTTCATTTTGTTTGGTCCAATGTTACATTTTACAGCTTAACTTGCTTATTTATTTTGTTTATCAATAAGAAAACAAGGCTCAGAATTTTACTGCTTGATCTCTAGGTGAAAAATGAATTGCCTAGTACATTGAAGGCTTATCGCTATCAACAGCACCGTTGGTCTTGTGGTCCTGCCAACCTTTTCAGGAAAATGGTGATGGAGATTATTACAAACAAGGTTAGCTACTTAAACTGATAAATTAAGGAGTTAAATCACTATAAATTTCATTGGCTGGCTCTTTATATTTTGACCCCTTGGTAAACTTTACTGCAGAAAGTGTCCTCATGGAAGAAGGTACATGTAATCTACAGCTTCTTCGTGGTCAGAAAGCTTGTTGCCCACATTGTTACATTCATATTTTACTGCGTTGTATTACCTGCAACTGTTCTGGTACCTGAAGTTGAGGTTCCAAAGTGGGGAGCTGTTTATATTCCTTCTATCATTACCATTCTCAACGCAGTTGGAACTCCAAGGTCTGCTTCTTTTGCAGTCTGTTTCGCTTTTTGAGTCCTTTGCCCCCTTAGATTTTATTATTCTCTCGTAACTTGAAATAGAATTCTGAATTCATCGTCCGAAAAATATACAAGTTTGATTATACTGTGCATAAGCTGCTTGATTTTGATAACGTAACACAAATTGATGTGTAAATCGACTCTCAAGAAATCAGGTTGCCCTGCTTCTATGAAGGAGCTCCAACAAAGATTGCTTGAATGGTAGAAGAAGACATTAGCTTATAAGCTTATGATTTTGCAAACAATATACTATTCTGCTTTTCTTAGGAAATCGTTTAGAGGTCTAATTAGCTGTTCTTCCACTCGAATGTTTCCAAGAAAAAATATTAGCCTTATTCACCTAATTAACATTTACTTTACATATTTCTCTTTCAGATCGCTTCACTTATTGGTCTTTTGGATCCTCTTTGAAAATGTCATGTCATTGCATCGGACCAAGGCTACCTTTATTGGCCTGCTAGAGGCTGGTAGAGTAAATGAATGGATTGTCACTGAGAAACTGGGAGATGCTCTCAAGGCTAGAGCAGGCACAAAGGGACCCAGAAAACCTCGTTTCAGGTTTGGAGAAAGGTACAGGCTATCAAATTGAGTCTGCTATTGCAACCTTGACTTATCATTCAAATTAGCCTTTTAAGCATTGAGACCAAAAAAACAGTAACACACTATTATATTCGTTAGTATCTGATTTAAAACTCTTGTTTTGCGTTTAAATTTTGACAGACTCCACTTGTTAGAGCTTTGTGTCGGAGCTTACCTCTTCTTCTGTGGCTGCTATGATGTTGTGTTCGGGAAAAACCACTACTTCATATATCTTTTTGCCCAAGCAATTGCCTTCTTCATCATGGGATTTGGTTATGTTGGCACCATTGTCCCCAACTCTTAGTGCGATTCCTGAAGTAGTCGTTGGTGTAATTCTTTTGGCTACTAAGTAATCGCCCTCAGCAGGTCTTTCTCTCCTTCAGCAACAGAGTATGTGGCGTTTATAGGGACATTTTCTTGCAATTTAGTTTTGTATAAAAAGACGGGGATAAAAAACACGGTTATTCTTTCAGGTTGAGTATAAGAATTCGAGTATGTTACTCGAAACAAGTTAGTCCTCTTGTGAATATCCAAGAAATTATGGAAAATACATAGCAAATGTTGTAATGGCAATGCGTCATACAGAGAAGATAAGGGGCAAATGAATGCAGTTTCTGGGTTTAGACACCAGATAGATATGGGGAAGATTTTGGAGTGAATTGTTTGCAATTGTGATCTTTTCTTTCTTTCTTGAAGCTCTTCTTTTCCTCCTCTTTCCGATTCTGTTGTGGTTGGGATTTGTTTGAGAAGGAATAAAATAATTGGAAAAGGGTAATTTACGAAGTTGATTTTCCATTCATCTTTGTCTCTCTGCCCCTCTCTCTCTCTCTCTCACACAAACACACTGTGTGGAAGCATAGTCCGGAGAAAATGCTGCTATGTATACAACGACCTTTTGTTTGAGAATAAATGGTTTATGTGATAGATAAAGAATGCAATGAAGGAGCCGACTTCAATAATTTACAATTCTTTGCATGGAAGGGAATGCCTTCATCTTTCCAAATGAAACATAGGTCACACGACAAAGACTTCACAATTTTGATCCTTCCACTCTTAAGTTTGCTCACAATACAAAGTAAGCATTGTATCTTGGTACAGCCTGACACTCTTCAAACCACTCTTAAGGCCAAATGTTGAAAACAATTCCATTTCCTCTCCGGCTGAGAATTATAACGAATTAACACCCTTGTTGATTCTTCCTGCGAGGAAAAGGAGTGCTGCCTGCCACCCTGAACCCACATATCTGTGGCATAGGTCTCTACTCCCTTAACTAGCCAGTTAAAAAATGTCATAATCGAATCAACCTGAGAGCTTAATATGATACATGAGGTTCCAATAGTATTTCTTATTTACTGACACTTCTCTTCCGGGCAGCTAATACGAAGGATTTCCACTGTTTGCTTGTACACAAGTAATGACCACTTTCAAGTTTCAACTCAACTTAACATTCCATGGTAAGGATCAGGTCTGGTTTCAGGTCTGGGAGTAGTTGATGTTCAAAGGCATATGAAATTTTGGTGTATTCAAGTTGCTTCCCCTCAAGGGCCAAGGCGATCCAAGTTGCCAACCAGTCACATTTATCATGTATCATTTATGATTCGATAAATTAGACAAGACTTGAAATAAAGTGAAGTGACAGAATGAATTTATAACTTCAACAACACTAGTTATCAATCCCGGTGGTACCATGCCAGCTTTTGTGTGGTTATATCATGCCACTGATCAACGACTTTTTCTCTCTATGCATGCCCTGGAAAGACATTAGGCTCTTGATTATTAGCCAGAAACAGAAAAGCGATCACATTCTGTTGACACTTGACAGCACCTGTGGGCTCTGTTCAACATTCACCTGTGAGAACTAGGCCTACTGCTTTATATCTGCGTTCTCCAATTTATCAGCCAAGTGAAAAGATAGTATGAACCGTTTACTCCAGGTTAACAAGGATTTCTTTATTTGACTAATTTTAACTCCCAATGAATCATATTAAAATCATAAAATATTCTATTATAAGGTTCTACTAATGATAATGTGTTAAAATGAAAAATTATATGGCAAAATTTAACTGCAAGTGAAATTTGTTGATGTGAAATAATTTGATATAATCATTTCTTACCACTGCCAGGTAATAACTAGCAAGTACAAGATAAAAAAAAAAAAGTGAGACTTCTCTACTTGTTGGGTCATCACAGGTAGAAAGGGACTTCTTTTCGTGACGCAAATGGAGGGCTTACGGTATTTTTGATGGGCTTACTTGGGCTACGTCTTGAACTTGCTCTAAGTTTCCGGCCCAAGTGTTTAATCAAACCCCTTTTTTCGGCCCATTTAATTAAACCCTTCAAAAGGGTTCTAATGGAGTCAAAACCGTAACCCGATTCATCGCAAAACTCAAACATGGCAGCAAAGCGCGTCACTCTCCTCTCCAAATTCTCCTGCGATTCCCAGAAGAAACTCCAAACTTCCCTCTCTCTCTGCACGCTCTCTTCACCAGACAAAACGCAAACCAATGAAGCCCCAACAGCCAACACCAACAACGAAAATGAAAGCTTTATGCATAACCATGAATGCCATCAACATATTCAAAACCTTTCCGCTTTTCTCCAACAGGGCCGTACCGAAGCTGCTCAAAACCTCACAAAATCTCTTCTTTTCTCAAAATCGCCATTTTCTTCACCATCTGATCTCTTCACTCTCTTCTCTCTTACCTCACCTTCTTTAAAACTCATTTTTTCAAATATTCTCTTGTCTTTATTAGCAGAATCCAAAATGCACAGTGAAGCTCTGGAGCTATATAAAGCTATGAGGAAAGAAGGTATGCAACCTTCTATAACTTCTCTTAACTTGTTGCTTGAATCTTTAGTGTCTTTGAATAAGTTTGATAAAACCATTAATTTGTTTGAGGAAATAATTGAGTCTGGTTTTAGACCCAATAAATTTATGTATGGAAAAGCTGTTCAAGCTGCTGTAAAATTAGGGGATTTGAAAAGGGCTAATGAGTATGTGCATTCTATGAAGAAAAAAGGGGTGAGTCCAAGTTTGTTTATTTATAATGCTTTGATTGGTGGGGTTTGTAAAGAGAAGAGAATTAGGGATGCAGAGAAACTGTTTAATGAGATGCTTGAGAGAAAGTTGGTGGCAAGTGTGGTTACTTATAATACACTTATTGATGGGTATTGTAAGGTTGGGGAGTTGGAGAAAGCGTTTGATTTAAAAGAGAGGATGGTAAGAGAGAATGTGGAGCCTAACCTTGTCACTTTCAATATATTGGTTGGTGGGCTTTGTCGTGCCCGTAGGATGGAGGAGGCGAAACATGTTTTGAAGGAAATGGAAGCTCGAGGATTTGCTCCTGATGGGTTTACTTGCAGTATACTTTTTGATGGGTTTTTAAGGAGTGGGAATGTTGAAAGTGCATTGGCTTTGTATGAAGAAGTGAGTGGGAAAGGAGTTGGAATCAATAGATATATGTTAAGCAACTGGTTGAATTATTTATGCAAGGAAGGGAAAGTTGAAAAAGCAGAAGAGGTTTTGCAGAAAGAAATTGAAAAAGGGTTTGTGCTGAATGAGGTGGTATATAATACCATTGTGAATGGATATTGTCGGATTAGTAACATGAACAAAGCCATTTCGATGGTTGAGCATATGGAGAAGTTGGGGTTGAGGCCGGATTGTGTTACTTTCAATTCTTTGATTGACAAATTTTGTGAAATGAAAGAGGTGGAATATGCTGAAGAATGGGTAAAAATGATGAGAGAGAAGGGTGTTTTACCGAATGTTGAGACATACAACATCCTAATCAATGGTTTTGGGCAAATGTGCCTATTGGATAGGTGTTTTGCTATTATAGAAGAAATGGAAAATCGTGGGATTAAGCCAAATGTCATAAGTTATGGTTCCATTATAAATTATTTATGCAAGGATGGTAAGCTTCTTGAAGCTGAAATAACCTTCAGGGATATGGTAAGTAGAGGGGTATTGCCTAATGTGCTAATATATAACATGCTCATTGCTGGTAATTGCACGGCAGGAAAGTTGAAAGATGCTTTCAGGTACTTTGATGAAATGGTGAAAGGTGAAACAAGACCAACAATTGTAACATACAACACACTCATCAATGGGCTGTGCAAAAAGGGAAGGGTAACTGAAGCTGAAGATTTGCTTTCCCAAATTACAAGTAGTGGGTGTACTCCTGATGTCATCACCTACAACACCTTGATATCAGGGTATTCTAATGAGGGAAATGCTCATAAATGTCTGGAATTGTATGAAAACATAAAGAGTTTGGGCATAAAGCCTACTTTGAATACATATTGTCCTCTCATTAGTGTATGCTGCAAGGAAGGTATAGAGCTTGTACAAAGACTGGTTTGTGAAATGTCAGAGATGCATTTGACTCCTGATCGACTTATATACAATATACTGATTCACTTGTATGCGGAGCGTGGAGATGTTCAGGCATTTGCTTTGCATCATGAGATGGTAGAACGAGGAATTTGTTCTGACAAAATGACCTACAATAGCTTGATTCTGGGGAACTTCAGAAGGGGAAACTTGTCAGAAATAAAGAATCTTGTTAGTGATATGAAGGTCAAGGGATTGGCTCCTAAAGCTGATACCTATGACCTACTGATTAGAGGATATTGTGAACAGAAGGATTTCATTGGAGCATATCTTTGGTATAGAGAAATGCTTGAGAATCATTTCCTTCCACGTTTCACGACTTGTAATGAACTTGTGACTGGCCTTTCAGAGCAGGGAAGGTTGCAAGAAGCCCAGATTATCTGCTCAGAAATGAAGGTTAAAGGAATGGATGATTGGAGCTTTGGTGAAGACCTATCTGCTGTTGCGAAAATGTAATTGAGGAGAAATACCGGGGTAGATCGGGTTCTTTGTGAAGCAATATTTTTACAATTAAAGAGACAGGTATCCAATATTCTCTACCATTGTCTGGATTCATGTTCCTGTGAAACTGATTTCTTTCTTTATAGTGCTCGGCTTATTGCTCTAAATGACAGAAGGTGGACACTGAATGACCTCACAAAGGAAGGCTGGTTAGTGCCCCTGCAAGGTCAGTGCATGGAAGGAGCACTGAACGAGTGAAGGTTGAGAAGGATGGCAATGTTCAAGTGGTTAATAAGCATTATGAATGTTTTGCTAGGCAATATTTCCTGTGTATAAGCTTCTAGCCTGACAATCGATGTTCATAGAAAGCCAAAGATGTTTCATATGTATAGTTAATCTCTTCTAACCAATGGGCTTGGGATGCCACTGTTGTCAAAGTAGTATTGCAACATATTTTACAATATTAGAAATATCAAGCCGCATGTAACAATGAAGCAGGATATCATATTGAGTTATTACAAGTGTCGTAGCCTACTTTAATCAAAGAAAAAAAAATCGTGAACAAAACGTACCTTGGGCTACGAGTTTTCCTTCATGAGCTGAAGACATTATTTTATATCTCAACCCAAGACTCCTTTCCTCTCTCCAACTGAGCCTTGGACTGTTGATTTATATGTAGTATGTACACATAAAAAAATTTAAAAGATGTTATATTTATTAATAAAATTAAAAATATATTACATATATTAAAAAGATTTTTTTTTTAATATAAATTCACAACATGTTCTTCAACAGTGAAGAAGAGTAGGACAAAACAGAAGGCCAAAAGCATGAATCATTAATCTTTTACACATTCTCTCTAATTTTTTATTTCACTTTAAAGTTTGCGGCCAAAACCAAAACAAAATATGATATGGTGCTTGACGGGTTACGTGAATGTTCACATAAAAGATATCATCGTGCAATACTAACCATTTAAAAATAAATCAAACAACACATTTTTGATAATTGCTCAAATACGATATCACATACATTATACCTATCGTATTTTATTAGTATTTTCATATTAGACACATTGACGAACTCTCAAAACTGACTCGAGCATACATGGAGGGCTTTATTCTTTCAAATATTGAATCAAAATGTCCAGGTTTTGACAAATGACCTAGGTTCATGATTAAATTATAATTCGAATAGAATGTAATGCAATTTAGAATCCAATTTAATGAAAGATGGACCAATATGAGATTAGAGGCAATTATGTGCTTTGCAACAAGTGCAACATCAACAGTTTTGACATATCGACCACCTCAACAGCCAGCATTTCTAACTGAAGTTTACTTTTGACCTAAGGAGAACCCTAGACAACCTTGTGTTTCCACCTCTTTACAATGACCTCAGGCTAGGCCACTCTTCATGCCCTCGTGGAATATGTGACTTCCTACAACTATGTCTCGGATGACCCGAGTACAGTTTTGCTGGTCGCATCCTGGTAATCCCAAGCATGGACCTTGGTCCCTATTCTCCAAACCTTCATGACTAGCAACCAATATGCGAAAGGTAAGCTGAGTCAGTGCACCTCGTTTTCGAGTTCAGATCAAGTTCCCTGAACTTGAAATTGATGATAAAATACAGAGTGTATATATCTTCTTATATCAAGAGAAATTGTATATATATCTGAGACTCAAATAAAATCAGCACAATTAAGTCCAGTAATTGGTGGCATTCACAACATAAATAACCCCAAACTTCCTTCCCCACCGGATCAATTCCTTCATTCTCTTCCCAATGCTATGTTACACTCCTAGCAAGTACACAAAAGGGTAAGCCACTAAAAGCCTATCAACAATGCAGGAAGAACAAACCTCGTATTAACTCCTTATCAAAGGTTAAGCACACATTCCAATTAAAAAGCCTTTGAAACAGAAAAATAGAATGCCTACTGCTCCAGCCAATTGAAACCTGTCGAGTTGCATAGTTAATTCACTCATTCTTTTTACCTCACAAAGTCAAAAGGAAAATCGTTGACAATTGTGCATCACCACTCACCAACAATACACAACAACGTGAACACTCGAATTATTTCCAAAGAGAGAATTCCAAAAAAAAAAAACATCAAACGAAAAGATTCATCCAAAATCTCATAAATATCTTTCTATTGCTAACATTTCATCAAAAGATTTCTCAGATTCTGGCTCATTGTTATTAACAAAACAAAAACTACCCAAGGACCGAGTTTAACGAATAACTAGATAGTCCCCAGTGTCCAATCTCACCAAAATCAGAGCACTTTGAGAATGTCTTCAGCCCCGCTGAAGGTAAAAGCACCACCTTCCTCCAAATTAAGAACCTTAACGACTCCATCTTCAGCCAAAAGCGCGTATCTTCGGGAGCGGACTCCCAGCCCAACGGGCTTATCACTCAAATCCAATTCACACCCGATTTTCTTCGTGAACTCCCCATTCCCATCAGATAACAACAGAACCTCGTCGTTAATCCCCAGATTCTCCTTCCACGCACGCATCACAAATGCGTCGTTCACCGACACGCAGGCAATGGTGTCCACCCCTTTGGCTTTGAGTTCCCCCGACTTTTCGACGAAGCCCGGGAGGTGCTTCTGGGAACAGGTGGGAGTGAAAGCACCCGGAACGGCGAAGAGGACGGCTTTTTTGCCGGCGGTTAGCGAGGAGATTGAGGTGGTTTGGAGTTCTCCGTCGGCGTCTAAGTAGGAGAGGGTTGCGTCGGGGAGCTTGTCTCCGACGGAGATTGAGGCGCAGATTTGGGTTGTTTTGGTGGAAAAGGAAATGGGTTTTGAAGGGCGGCGGTGGAGGTTGAGGGAACGGGGAGAAAAGGAGAGTTTCGACGAAAAGGATTTAGGGTAAAGTTTGGCGGTGGTAGTGGAAAAAGAGAGGGCGGTTGGCGAGAGAAACCTTGAGACTGTTAAGGAAGCTGCCATTGTTAACGGAAGTGCAAAGAGAGGAGAGAAGAGACAACAAAAGAGTGAGGTTTGTGTGGGCGTTTTGGTTTCGAGGTGGGATTATTTTTTTGGAAGAGGGCGGAGGGAACAAAGGACGTCACGTGAGAAGAAGAGGTTCAGTGATTATTTCTTTGTTGGCAGGCTGCCAGGTTGGTTTTGGTTGAACGATATAATTGGTGACCAAAATGTTTGATGATAATGTTTTCCTATTTCTTTCGTGGGAGTAATCGTGTCCGGTAACTAGGGAAGGGAATATACATGGGAACAAGACCTAAAAAATTTATTAGTAACTGTATTACTTATTTTCTGGAGAAATTAGCAACGTGATTATTTAAGGTTGTAAATGAAAATTTACCATAGATTAGGTTTCATTGAGCAAGATATATAATTACAAAATTAAAAAGAAGTGAGCAATTTACGGGTGGGCAAAATTGGAATTTAATCTTAGGCTCTGAAATATTTTTTACATTAACAAAGAAAAAGTTTAATACCTATTAACATTGTTATTTATATAATATATATATATGTATATATTTAATCTTTTATTCTTTGAATTTGGCTCATTTATCAAATTAAACTTCGAGTAGGTTGATGCTTGAACCTGAATATTTTAATTGTGAGAACCCAGACGTGGCCTGCTGAATGATAAAGACTAAACAATTTTTAATCTTAAAGGCAGGAGAAAACAAATTAACGAAGTGATGTGCATCCCATTCCCATATGCCAGAGGCGCCTAGCAACCTTTCAAAGCAGCGTAATGACACTTTTACACCAAGTCACATGACCTTCACCTGTCAGTTAAGGCTCCTGAGAACCTGGACCAGTGTAATTAATTAAGGCAAAAGCAAGTGGCAGTCAAGATTATTGACTTGTTAAGGTCGCCAAAAGCACAACGCTATGTTTTAGATGGTAAAGTTTTGACCAAAAGCTCGTATTTAATTATCGCATATGAGCTGTTACATTGGTATTGGATGGTGCAAGAACTTGTTTGCTCCGAAACTACATCACAGTGGGCAATGACACAACTCCTGGGAAAATGGGCCCAACTGAGCCTACTGCCCAAGTTGTAGAACGATCAAGTTAAGAAAACTGACACTGAAAGCTGCCTCACTTGCAAGCCCTCCCATGGAATTTGGAAGCCATTGAGCTACAAGACTCATCTTTCCCATTGTAAAAGCATTTTTTTACAGGAAAAGGTAGTGCTGCAAACAAATCAAACAAATATATTGAACGTGACGTACAGGAACATTAGAGCTTAAGACAATTTTAATATCATACTAGCTTCAATGGGATCAATCTCTAAGAGAAAAAGGTAGATGAAAATTGTCTTAAGCTTGAGAAGACTATAAGATATTTTACATGAATCAACTTTAATTTTTTCCATTAACTTATAAAATATTTAAATAATTAAAAAGCCTTAAAAAACTTTTCAGCCTTATTTAAAAGGCGAGCCTAATCAACCCCACGCGTGGCCGTGTCCCAAGTGTTTTAGTGTGCATTGGGAATTTGTTCCGAATTAGGAGCCCAGATATTGGGCTGGGCCGTCCATGTTGAGCTGATCCCTGTAAGATGTAAAACTTCCTGTGCAGACAGTTGCTTCGTTGCTTCTATCATTGGGTCTGGAATTGGGCGGTAGAATTACTCAGAAAAAAAATAAATCAATTTTGACATTAGTGGAAAACATTGTGATAGTGTGCTACTATATAACAGCCTCCTTATGATATAACGACAATATTGTTGTCTGCCTAAAGGCCCAAAGGGTTGTTTAATCAGGAATGGTGCCTTGAATGCATCGATATGTTAGAAAGGCACGGTCTCAAAATAGCTTGCTAAGGGGCCAGTACCAACAAAGCTTCAAACTTCAAAGAGTTCGATCACTTCAAAATGATCAACAATCCTATCAATTATATAATATTGATTGGGTACCACATGGACTCACTAAAAGGCATACATATCTTGGCATGGAATCAGCCAAATTGTTGACAAACGAGAGGAAGTCATGTGAATTTTGAACACTAGTAGCACAAAAGTATATGCCTGATTGATACTCTTTTGCAGTAGTAGCAGTAGCAGCAGTAGGTGCCCAGGGTTCGGTGAGCTCATGTGAATGATTCCGGCAATAAATTAGAGTAAGGACAAACAAACTTCTTGCTCTCCAAGTTAGGAAGTAATTTTCACGTTTTTTAGTTCAAAAGTGCAACATGAAACAATGCAGCTCCATGCGCGAAAAAGACACCCACGCTTACTATAGGAGGCAAAAAATTTCCAGCAATAAGTTCGCAACATTATTAATTACAATATTTTGGATCCAAATATTTGACATTAGATTAATAATTAAAGGCACAATTAAAAATTATAAAGTGAAAAAAAAAGAAATCAGACATGTTACCGGAATTATAAGTTATTATTATGCTTGAATTCGAATGGAAAGAGAAATGTGGAAGTGATTAAGACTCATCAACCAAAAACAAATGCAGATGTAGACAGTGACGACTGTAGTATCCTTGTTGACAGGTTCATCGTCATCCAACATGCGAGTATACATAAAACAATAAAAAAATATATAAAAATTTTAAGAATTGAATGTCAAAATAAGCAGTTAACCCACTAAATTTTTTTCCTCCTTGATAAAGAATTGACTTCATTGGATGGCATGAGTCTACTTTTTATCTTTTATTAAAGAAAAATTCATGTTTTCGAATCAGAAATGATTATTAATTCTAACTATAGGAAGACTTTGCTTTGTGGTTCATAATGCTCGGATCCATCAAAGTGATAAGCAAATGAACTTCGAATCTTGCAGTTATTTTTGTCGGGTCACAAAAATACATATCAGAACTCAATCTGAAGAATTAGTTGGAGCTGGCAGGGGAATATAATCAAATACAAGGGGCAAATGCTGCCCTATTTCAAATAATCGATCAATAGATAAGTTGACTAACATACAGTAGAGCCTGAAACCTACAACGTTGGGAAAATCGCAGTAGGCTAAACACGTTTAACAGAGCAGCCTAAGCATAGTACAATTATTTTGGGGCTTATTTTCTTTAATTTATTTAAAACCTTTTTTAAATTAAGTGGTAATGTTTTCATTTGTGTTGTGAAAATTGTTCAACAAACAACAAAAATAAAATCTAGAGAAATCAAGCAAACAAAAAAATACAAGAATTTACGTGATTCGGCCTCTTGCCTACGTCCACGGGCTATAGCTCTCCAAATCAACCAAAGATCCCTTACACACGCTTTCTCAATAATCTCCCAAACTCCACCTATAGTAAAAGACAGAGTTACAAAGTGTCCTTTCTCTAAGATTCTCAAAGCACTACTTACAATTTTAAAATTTAGAGATATACTTTTATAATATAAAAGTCTAAAGTAGAATATGATTATGATTCTACGTAAAATAAGAAATTTAAAATTGTATATCTATACATAAACCAAAATTCTATTCAAATAAAATATAAAATTTTAGTCAACTTAAAACTCAACAATATATTTACCATTTAACTTGGACAAGAAGCCGAAAACAAAGAATTTTCAGGTGAACCCACCGAACCAAATGTGTAGGCCTTTTTGACAAGTTTACCAAAAAGCATGCGCTTCCGGTCCACCAAAACAACAACGCAAAGAAAGACAGTTTAAACCCGTGCTCCTCACATGTCTTGTTTTTTTTTTCCTCCTGCTTAAACCTAATAAATGCGAAAATCCAATGGCTACTGTATTTTTTGTTTGAAATCAACGGCTCTCATTAACCTATCTCCCCTTTATATAAACCTCACTCCACTGTTCGTTTAAAAACTCTTGTGACCAGTCTCAAACCTTCCTATCTCTTCTGTACGCTCACTCTCTCTTCCCTTTAGATCTCAGAAAAGCTTTTATCTCATGGCTGTTACCATCGTCTCCGTCAAGGCTAGGCAGATCTTCGACAGTCGTGGAAATCCAACGGTCGAGGTTCGCCGTCTCATCCGATCTTCGCTATTTATTTTCGTCCCTTTCGATGATTTTTTGTCACCGATCTGCATATATTTAGCATCTCCGTCACTCATTTCCCGATTAAATCTTTGTCGATCTATTTGCTTTTAGATTTTTACGACTCGATGAGTCGAATCGGTCAGTTAGCTGAGTTTTTCTAATCATTTTTCCCCTGATTGCATACCATAAGCGTTATTCCTGTAGTTAAATTCTGTTATTTTCAGTATTCAAATTTATGCAAAATTTTAATTTATTTTAACGGAATATTTGCTTGAACATGATAGGTTGATGTGGAAACATCCAACGGTAAAAAGGTTAGAGCGGCAGTTCCAAGTGGTGCATCCACTGGTACGTTAATTTATCCCGTAATCATCAAAATAATTAATTTGTACAATTTTTTTCATAATTTTATTAATTTAGTAACGTTTAATTTTGTTTCAGGAGTTTACGAGGCTCTTGAATTGAGGGATGGAGGTTCGGATTACCTTGGCAAAGGTGTATCAAAGGTCAGTTATCTTGCGATTTTATCTTTTATTTTTACTGGCACTTTTCTTAAATAATTTGTTTTATTAACAATTTGCTGCTCTTGTAATATGTATAGGCTGTCGCAAATGTTAACAGAATCATCGGCCCTGCATTGATTGGAAAGGTTTGTCCCTAACTTATTTTCGCCTTTGATTTCGTGTTTGTAATATATCATGAACTGATTGATATGAACTTCTAACTTGGGTTTGTAAGTTGTAACTAAGTTTGGTTGTTACTTTTGCAGCTATTTGATTTTTGCTTCAATAAATGTTATTACTATATGATAAAGAATAAGCAAGTGGAAAGAATGTAGCATTAAGTCAAGCATAACTATTTCATGTATAAGTAGAATCATGCATCATTAACTAACTAAATGGAGCATTTGGTTGAACTTAATGAAATAATTCACGGTATACTTTGTCCTGAAGTGTGTTTTTTCAATTGCTTTTTGTAGGATCCAACTGAGCAGACTGCTATTGACAATTTCATGGTTCAACAACTAGATGGAACTCAAAATAAGTGGGGTTGGTGCAAACAAAAGGTAACCAAGCTGCTTGCTTCTTTATCTTTCAAATGATTTTTTTAAGCTTATTAACACCTCCTTTTAATGTTTTTGTCTTTTTTCTTGTTAATTTCCCTCCAGCTTGGTGCAAATGCCATTCTTGCAGTGTCCCTTGCAGTTTGCAAAGCTGGGGCTGAAGCAAAGAACATTCCCCTTTACAAGGTACATTCTGGCTTCTTAAGACTTGTGTAAGCATCTGAATATCGCTGTGTGAATGGGGGAATGATTTCTATTGATGGCCTCCAAACCACTTAATCTTGTTTGGGTAATTTATTATATAGAAAATTTTCCTTGTTTGTGTCATATGTATTTAATAAACCTACCCTTTGGATGCAGCACATCGCTAACCTTGCTGGTAACAAGAAGTTGGTTCTGCCAGTCCCTGCTTTCAATGTCATCAACGGTGGATCACATGCAGGAAACAAACTTGCTATGCAAGTATGGGTCTTGAAATTCCCTTTTTTTTGTTGGTCATTTCTTGATATTGATGTCCTCATTCGTCTATGTTTGCAGGAGTTCATGATTCTCCCTATCAGAGCAACATCTTTTAAAGAGGCCATGAAGATGGGTGTGGAAGTCTACCACCACTTGAAGACTGTGATCAAGAAGAAGTATGGTCAAGATGCAACCAATGTTGGTGATGAAGGTGGTTTTGCTCCTAATATTCAGGTCAATCCTTGGTTGATGAAATCTCAAGGTTTCACTTTATATTTACCTGTTATTTTCTTTTTCAGTTGAAGACTAGTTATTTGATATCATTTTTTGTGCAAGTTCAGGAGAACAAGGAGGGCCTTGAATTGCTAAAGACTGCCATTTCTAATGCTGGTTACACAGGCAGAGTTAGTGCCCCTTATTACTAACCTTTATTAATTTTCTGTTACTTTGATGTCAGGAGATGACTGATTGAATGTTCCATTTCTTTTCTAGGTTGTTATTGGAATGGATGTTGCTGCATCTGAATTTTATGGATCAGATAAAACCTATGACCTGAACTTCAAAGAAGAGGTGAGCACTGTCAGAACTCACAAGATATTCGCAATCATTGTACCTTTTTTGAGATCTGTTTATACTTTATAACTGTATCATTTAATGATAACCTGTTCTTTCAAGTTGCCCTGTTAATGTTATACTAATTTTGTTTGCTCCATTTATTTCTGTTGTTTGGCATGTGCAGAACAATGACGGTTCAGAAAAGATCCCAGGAGATGCTCTCAAAGATTTATACAAGTCATTTGCTTCTGAGTATCCTATTGTGTCAATTGAAGACCCATTTGACCAAGATGATTGGGAGCACTACACCAAATTAACCTGCGAAATTGGAGGGAAAGTTCAGATTGTGGGAGATGATCTCTTGGTCACCAATCCAAAGGTTAGAAATTGGCATTTCCATGTGTGTTTTCCCTATAGGAAATAGAGCATGTATTTCAAAGTATTCCTTTTGATGGAACATGACATGTTCATTCTCTTTTCTTAATGTATGCAGAGGGTTGAGAAGGCTATCAAAGAAAAAGCTTGCAATGCGCTTCTTCTCAAGGTATTACTTGGTTCTTTTTCTTTAGAAAGTCATTTTTGGTTTTTGGCCTTGCATTGGATAGAAATCTAATTCTTTGTTGGTATGATTGGGAAACAGGTTAATCAAATTGGATCAGTTACTGAAAGCATTGAAGCTGTCAAAATGTCCAAGCGAGCTGGATGGGGTGTGATGGCCAGCCACCGCAGGTTTGAATGTCAAGTTTAAATGAAAAAATTGTTAATATGATTTGTCATTCATATCTTTTCCAAAATTCCAGTTACTCACAGAACCTTTAAATTATTTACTTGCAGTGGTGAAACCGAGGATACTTTTATTGCAGATCTTTCAGTGGGTTTGGCCACGGTAATAAATTCTGTTGAAATCTGAATCTACAACCTTAATTGTTGTGAATTAAGATGTTGCAATCTAATTCTTGTTCTTAACATGTTTTCTTTTTTTAAAAAAAAAATCAGGGTCAAATTAAGACTGGAGCTCCATGCAGGTCTGAGCGTCTAGCTAAGTACAATCAGGTTAACATCCTCACCTTTAATCAAACATATGTTTTTCTTTTAATTGAGTTTTATGTTGATTCCTATCAAGACATGACTCTTTTTTCGAAGAAGAGAAAATTGTGCCAAGCTTTGTCTGATTTATCTTATCTTGGGAGTCTTTTGTGCATCCAGCTTTTACGTATTGAGGAAGAGCTTGGTCCTGAGGCATTTTACGCCGGAGCAAGCTACCGCGCTCCTGTTGGACCCTATTAAGAGTCTGTTGGATGGTACGCTTGCTGAGGCGGGATGGTTGTGTGCGATAGAGCTTCACATGCAATAAATAAGTGTAGCACGTAGAGTGGGTTGGACCCAAACATTTTTCAATAATTTTGACTGAAATTTTGTTCCAACAAACTTTTATGTTTTGTTATTTCGGAAATGATGGTTCCGCTTTTTATTTACCTTTGGGTAGAGATATCTTTTGTTACTAGCAACTTAATTTTACGCAAGAATTTCTGGACACCACAAGCCTTATTTTCTTTAATTCTTGAAGGCAATTCTTCATTTACTCAGTCAATGGATGAAACAATTCCAGTTAGAGACTGAAAATGAAAAATTTAAAAGATAAGGTTGATGGAAAGGGAGAAGCAGAATTTTTTTTTCATCAAGAAATTTATTTGGCATAGTTTTTATATTATTTTTAAAAAATTCAAATAAGCTTGTATTTTTTTTAATATGTTTAATCACATTTTTTATGTTTTTGTTTTTAATTAAATAGATTTTAACGGCCAGTAGTCAATTAACCGTTATTAACTATAATATTACTTATCAATTTACTTCAAAACAGTTTTGACGGAGATATAATATATTAATGCGTTATAATTATATAATTATATGATAAAGAATAACAATTATATAATTATATGATAAAGAATAACAAGTAATATTTGAATCAATGATAATTAATTAATTATTAATTATAAAAATTTATTTGATATAAAATAAAAAAGTACGTGTATTTGACTGATGTAAAAAAAAAATTATTTGAATTGTTTTGAATAATTTAAGAATTTTTTACAAATATTATATCAGCTTATTTTCGGTCAAAAGAACAGTTGGAGGAATGAGAAAAAAATTTTAAAGTTAGTCGGAAAAAGAATAGTACAAGGAGGAATGGGGTAAAATCATAATTCCAAAACAAAGTTAAGTTGAAACTGAAAAGAAAATCAAGAATGGTTGCTTAAATCCAGGCTTTAAAGAGGTACAAAGAGAGAGTTGAAAACAAAGCGCAAAAATGCAGGCTGTGGGGTTCGAACCCACGCGCACTTATGTGCAGAAGATCTTAAGTCTTCCCCCTTAACCTCTCGGGCAAACCTGCTGTTGATGTGAGGTTTACATAGAGTTGCTATAAAACTATGTTATTCTAAATAGAGTGAGACCCCACTCGTATATTTTATATCTTTTACTGTATTGGTTTAATTGATACTTAAATAGTCAAATTATTATGACAAGTTGGAACTTTCAAGTTATCAAAGGAAAGACCTATCAGCCGTTTAGCATGAAATTTAGCTTGGTAATACTAGTTATCAGAACATTCTCTAAAAATGACTACATCCGCATTATTATTACCTGATTATCCATATTGGTTAATTAGTTAAGTGCCAACAGACTGATGACATTTTATGAAAAGCGTTAGCATGATAGTTGGAACGCCCAAGGATTTGAGATGCAAAAGTAGAGCTAGCGTAAGCCTAAAAATGAATTCCTGAGGCTTGCACTATACTAGTAGTTGTGTCACCTGCCTGAGGCGAAGCCACTTTTGTCTTAGTTGTGAATACATCATCTATTGAGTGCTCCCCGGGGTCCATGATATGAAGCCAAAAGTCCTTGAGGTCGGAGAGGTGGACCAGGAAATGTAATGAGAGAATAGTAACATAACCCCACAGCCCTCTATAGCAAGAAGTAGGTGGCCTACCTGGCCTTGAAGTTTCCATTTCTAAACTTTTCAACAACCCATTTTCTTTTGCTTCTAAAAGATTGAAGCAAATACAGAGAGGAATCAAACAGAATCAGTATTTAATTCAATTCTAGATGTGGGCATGACGCGATTTCATTGAAGTACTAACCTTATAATTTGCAAACATCTCTTTTCACATAGAAAGCATCATCCAAAACATAAAGGCAATTTCAAAGGGGCCTACTAAGATCAATTACATTTACTTCAAACATTTAACTAGTCATATCCACTTGTTCATTCCATAATTATCAAAATTCAAACAAAGATATTATATTGGACCGAATCATTTTTACACTGCAGCCCCGTGCTTTGCCTTGGAATGAGATTGTAAAGCATTTTCAGAGCCAAATGACCTGCACAAGTTTTGAAGACATACATGATTATTCCAAAAAATGTAAACAAAAATAATCATAATTGGTTTAACCACTTAATAAGAAGGAACAACCTGCCGCAAGACTTGCAAGGGAATGGTGAACCACCTGACTTTGGATTCTGCTTCACCTGTCCAGTGGCAGCTGATGCTTTTCCACCTTGCTTTGAAGGGTGAGGGGTTGCAGTATGTCCACCCACTTTCTTGCCATCTGCACCAAGGACTGGCAACTCTTTAACAATATAAATTTTTAATTATAGACAAACTAACAATGGAAGAAAGCGCTAGACTGGAGAATCAGAAAAGGGGTAAGCAACCAATGTATAATTGATAAATAAACAGAATAGTGCATTATGATCCCTCATTAGTCATTAAGCAATCAACATCTCTATAAGAGAACATATAGAAGGGAAAGTCTACCTGTCTTTTGGGGAGTGACCAGCTTTGCCTTCTTTTCTGGAGCAGGGGTCTTCGTAGCGGACTCTGCAGGTCTCTTCTTGCTTGGTTCAGCCTATGGAAAACCAGTCACTAGTGATTAGAACAATAAAGTAAAAACTTAGCTGAAGCCCCTCAAAGTCCTGAATGGAAACCAAAGCATATGTCAATACCTTCTCAGGAGTCTCTTGATCCTCATCTGAACTTTCTTCGTCACTATCATCTTCATCACTGTCAGTATCATCGTCACTTTCATTCTCACCATTAACCAACATGCCTGGTTCCTAAAATGACAGCTCGGAATAACTCCAGTCAGACATGGCATTCTGTCCAAATGGGGCTATGAAGAAAACAACATAAACAGCTATATCCAAACAAGAGCTCCTACCTAGACCAAGTTAGAAACGTGATACATTCAATTCAACAAATTGTCAGGTGATAAAGAAATAGCAGTTTGATAAAAAACTTAAAGAAAATACAGGAAAAACATCAAAACATTTTCTTGATTCACAACAATGATAGTCACGCAAAGACACCTTTAAAACTATTTTCTCTAACGTACTAGATATCAGTAACTGTTTAACACCCCATTTCAAATATTCAGACTTATGAATCACCCCTAAAAGCAGGAAGATCTGATCAGCTGGGTATGATACTAATAGTTGCTAGTTGCTAAAGATCCACCTGATCATCACTGGTCTCTTCATCCTCAGCAGAAGTATCATCTTCATCCTCATCATCACTACTATCCTCTTCTTTTTTAGGTTCCGCAATCTTAACCTGTTTTGACGTAGTAGGATCAGATTCTGTCGCATGAGGCTTTATGGGATTAATTGTAGGTACAGGGAGCTCCTCTTCCGACTGAGAATCTGTGAAGTAAAAGTTGGAAATGATTTACATATTTAAACAATATTAACAAATGTAAAATAAATAAGAACACAAGAGCAGAATGACTTACCGCCACCTTGAGATGTATCAACATAATACCCGGTAAAATGAACACTACCATTCTTCCAGGTATGGGACAGCTCAAATTTGTCATGCAACACCAAATCCAATGGTATCTGGGGGAATTTCTCTTGAGAAAGCGTTCCAATTACAAACTTCTCATCATTGATTTTGAGATAGATGCAGACAGTTTCATTTCCTTTTTCTTTCTTGTTATCACCAGTCACCTCACCAAGGGCAACCTGTGAGTTATACAGTAGCAAATTTAACAACGAGATATAAATAACTTAACACGCAAATAAGCATGAAATAAGAGTTCCTTAATAACCTGTGAAAGATGCAAGATCCTACTGCCATCATCCTCCAATTCAACCTCAAAGATCTGTCCAGTTTTGACCTCAGCACCTACATATATATTGCCAAATTTCAAGGGGGCAGGGGGGTTCATAACTTATTAGAGCTAAAAGCATTGAAGAATACAGTGAGAAAGGAAAAAAAAAACGAGAGGAAATTGTAAATATGCAACATTACAAAAATTCAACGTATGATTACCATTAAGAAATAATCACTTCAACAAGACATCATGAAACACAATAACCAGAGCAGTAGCAGAGAAAACGTAATCTTAAAGGTTTCCCACAGGAAAGTTCAAATCAAAATACCAAATGAAAAGACAAAACAAACCCTTAGCTGCTGGTCATAGAAATAATCACTTAAAAAGAACAACAAACCCATTAAAATTTTTTTTCCTCAAACCATTAAATTATTCTAGCTCTTGTTGTGGCACCCAATACACTGATGGATGACTAGGTAAAAAAAGCATGACAAATTTTAAAAATTTCTTTTAAACACATATGAAGCCCAAGAAAACAATTTAAAAGATAAAATCAATTTAAATTCAGAACCTAAATAACAATTCAAAGAACTGATATATCTATAATTTTATATGCATTTTATTATGTTATTTAAATTTTATGTAATCTTATTAACATAATCGTTGTCTCTTAACTTGTTTCATTAATTCCACAAGTAACTTTATATTATAAAAGATTCCATACCGCACTCTTATATACAACTTTTTAAAAAAAGGAAAACAAAAGAAAAGACCAAACTTAAAGCAAAATAATTACGAAAGCAACAGCCTGAAAAATCAAATCTTTGTGGGAAATCAGTATATGAACAAATGATTCGAGATGGAACAAACAAACAGAATAACCATTCAGTTCAGCCAATTTCGTAACTTGAAGAAAGATTAAGAGAAACAAAAACAATCGAAAGAATGAATTGCAAGAAAGAGAGAAAAATTTTACCCCAAAACTCCATTGAGAGTGTGAGAGAAGTAATGCTTAGGGTTTTCCCGAGCTTTTTAGATGAAATTTCCTAGGAAATACTCGGTTAAGACTTTGAACGACGGTGAGGGAGAGAGAGAGAGTGTGTCATTTTATAGGTTGTCGGCTAAAGGAGTGATGATTGGGGCTAGGCTGTGATTTGGTGTTGCGCGAACCACCGTAAAAGAATCAAATCTGGGCCTATTGGGTCCGTTGGTTTGGGGTAATGAAGAAATTTGGGCTTTCGCAGCAGAACCAAAGGGCCCAAAATTATTGGACCCAATAATTAATAGCTAAATGGGCAAATAAGTTTCAGAACTATGTAATCAAAATTAATTCGGAACTTATCTTTTTATTGCGTTTAAATAAATTTTTAAATTTTTATTTGAGATTAGATAATCTCTTCTCTTTAATCTTTGATTAA